AGGTACTGGAGTTGTAAGACCACACTCCTGCAGAAGCTGTATTGGCAAAACAATTCAAACTAAAGTAAAATGCTAACTAATGTTATATTCAGACATACTAAACAGCAAAAATATTAAGACAAGGATGAAAATAACCCAATTACAGAAACTTGCCGTGAGATGAAAGTTTGCAAACGTGGACTTATTAGACAAATAAATAAAGCACAGTAAAGAAATGCTTTTTAACAGGACAGAAACATCTAAGTATGATCTCAAAACAAGCCTTACAAAAATTCTAGATGCAGCAAGAGTTCATGAATGGTGAGGGAAGTTTGGAAGTGAAAGAAATGGGGAAAAAAAAGGATTTCTTTTTCCAAAAATAGTGATGACTATACATATCAAACCACAGATAACAGGAATTACCAACAAATCCAGACCTAAACTTGTAATTTTGATAGTATAATACACCTTTATGCAACTCTGTACCTTTCTAAAAGAAAAGGCTGTTGGTTTTGTGGTTAATAAATAATAAATCTAACCATTTTGCCAAAGCCTGTAAATAAAGAGTTGGTCCAAAAGTCAGCACATTATGAGAAACAGGCTCAGTGCATAGACTCCGTAGGCAAGCATTCAAAAAAGTAAATACAGCCTGAGATTTATCTGATCTGGATGAATGTGGAAAAGAAACCTAACAACCTGGATCAAATTAAGACACTCCACTAATATAACTCTGCTACAACAAGCCCCTAGTTAAAGAAGAATAAAGGAGACCTTGTGTACAGAGTTGAAAATCTTCTATCTACAGAAGAGAAGACACAGCCCTAGTAATGTAGCCTCGCTCCTATCTCCTCTAATAGGAGGTAATTGCAAACTGGATTCACAGAGGGGATGTAAACGCGACGCTGTGGTGCCTGGCTCACAGACCCGGGGAAGGAAACAGTCCCCCCAGCCACTCAGCCATCGATGGTCTCCCTAGCTTGCTACTGGCTGTGTAACCCAGCCCCAGCCCAGGCTCCTCCAAGCTCCTTGTGCAGGAGTTGTTCCTGCACTGGCTAGCAAAATCTGCAGATCTGAACCAATTACCTAAACTGTTCATATTCAGTGCATGGAGCAAAACAGGTATCCAAGACAAAGAACTGCTCCTTCACCTGCCCCCCCCCCCCAAAAAAAAAAAAAAAAAAGAGCAAGAAGCTTGTCAATGAGGAATGCTGAGGACAGAGGCCTAGCTCCTCACAGCAAATTACATACTGAGCAGAAATTGGGATTTTCTCTCCTCATTTGCCCATTTGCCCAGCCAGGACATTCATGCAGAGATTGGAGACCTGCCTGGTTTGGGAATGGGGTTTGAACATGTCTCTCTGGTGTCCTAGGAGAGGACCCAGGCTGTGGGCACTCTCTGATGGTGCTTTTCTTCTGTGTATACCACGTTCTGTGGCCAGGAAGACCACTGTGAGATTAACTCCTCAGCGAGAGACTTCTAGTGTTCAGCCAAGACACATGGATTCCGATCCCTGCTCCAGGGAGGAGGAGCAAGCTCCAGAAGACGGAGTTGAAACAAATTTCCATCAGAATGCACTGCGAGGGTCTCCTGGGGGATGCATATGCATATTTCTGTTATGTATAAAACAGGTAAGGAGTATCAGTCTGGGTAGCTCACATGCCAAGTGCATGTTTTAAGCACTAGGATGTAAGAAGGTTCAAGTGTTCTTTCCTTTCACTTTCTTTCCAGTGACGTGTTCTAAGAGCAAGTTCAGGCACCTGCAAAAGTTTGAAAAGTTTTGTACCAGGGTTTTTCAAGGTTCAAAGCAGATGGGCAGAGGGGTTAAGGCAGAAAAAAGAGATACTTCACAATCTAGCTGTGCACGTAGACACCTGACAATGCCCACTCTACCCATGACCTACTTGCTGGGACTGCTAAGTTTCACGTAGTGCTTTTGGATGTTTTCTTTCCCGTTCATTAGCATCAGGACCACTAGAACTAGAATCTGTGACCACCTAAAAATCCCTAACAATGTGCTCTTTAAAAAGAAAACCTTTAATATACTGTGTCCAATTCTGGGCTCCCCAGTACAAGAGAGACATGGCACTACTGGAGAGAGTCCAGCGGAGGGCTCCTAAGATGATGAGGGGACTGGAGCATCTCTCCTATGAAGAAATGCTGAGAGCCGGGCCTGTTGAGCCTGGAGAAGAGAAGACTGAGAGGTGATCTCATATAGGTATGCAAATATGTGAAGGGAGAGTGTCAAGAGGATGGGGCCAGACTCTTCTCCGTGGTACCCAGCGACAGGACAAGAGGCAACGGGCGCAAACGGAAACATAGAAAGTTCTGTCTGAACATGAGGAAAAACTTCTCCACAGTGAGGGTGACTGAGCATTGGACCAGGTTGCCCAGAGAGGTAGTGGAGTCTCCTTCGCTGGAGATATTCAAAACCCGCCTGGACCTTATCCTGTGCAATATGCTTTAGAGGACCCTGCTTGAGCAGGGGGGTTGGACTAGATGATCTCCAGAGGTCCCTTCCAACCTTGGCCATTCTGTGATTCTGTGATTCTGTGAACATAAAAATACACCAAGGTGAACAAAAGATATATTTACATAATGCACCTGATCTTAATAACCTTTTGAAGCCAGTTCTTCTCCCACAGAGTATATGAAGTTCAGGCGCTGTACAGACAGCTATTCCACAGACATCTGCATTCTCCAAAGGCAGGGGTCAAGGCCAGGCAGGCCTCTCTGGATGCAAAGGCCCTTAGAGATAGTTGTTTAGGCCTGCTTATTAGAAGGAGACTGTACAAGCTGTTGGAAGGCAATCAGTTAAGCTATATAAAGGCTAAAAGGATTTAAACAAAGGTTGAAGCTTTAAGTAGAAGACTTAGGAGGGTTAGATTGAGAGCAACTTCATTTTATGTTGCTTAATGTGTTTGAAATAGCACTTGATCCAGATGGTCGTGATGTTAGTTGATTGCTGTGTGAAGAGACAGTGCAGGAGGCTAGTCTGGATGTATATTTTTAATGTAAAATCAGAATGGATTGGCAAAAGGCATCAGAACCGCCATCCTGGAACAGGTCCCATGTCTCTTCTCCCTCCTAGCGAGGCCCCTGTGCTAGGTCATGGTCTCAGTGACTGAGAGTTGTAAGGTTTGCTGTAATCCCACAAGAAGAAAGCCAGAAAGTTGCCAGAAGGACCAACAAGCCTATCCCCTAATCCTGCAATACACAGATGCTTCAAGGGACCTTGTGATAACTAGCATGCCTAGTCAAGCATACGTTTTGGTCTTTCTGTGATAGGGGCGTAGCTCCCTTCCACCTCTTCAAGCAGATAGTCAGGCTAGACGCTCCTTAAATCCTCCATAAAGCAGAACTATGCTGACATACAGAATTTATAATACACACATGATTTTTCTTGTATTTTCTTAAGTCTTGTTTGTTGCAAATCAAAATGATGTTTTTCCCAATGTATGTAGATGATGAAGTTTAAAAATGGACCAGAAAAGTTTATAAATATATACTGAAGGGTCTTTAAACATAAATGCATGGATAG